AGTCAGAAGAGGCAAGTAAAGTTATAAATGTGAGTAGCTAAGAAAAAAATTCCCCTTGTAGATGTGGAAAAAGGCAAAGCACAGGAAGTAAACGAGGGCTTGTTTTGTTTTAAATTTAAATGAGATTAAATTTTGCCCCAGGGGAACCAAGACAGCAAGCAGAGCTGCTGTGGAGGAGAGGAGGAATGGCTCTCTCCTCACCTGGGCAGCTGAGATTTTGCTGAAGATGTTGGAGCTGGCAGCAGGCTGTGGAGGGGGCGGAGGGGCAGGCGAGCCCCGGTGCAGGGGCAGGCTCCTGCTGCCCCGAAAATCAGTGTTCCTGGGTACCAGGGTCGTGGCTTTCTGGATTTGCACTTTGCAGGGTTACCAGGGAGGTTAAGGAAAGAGCAGCGTGGCTTCCCCTGAGATGTAAGGGCTGTGCACCAAGATTTGCTGACGGTCTGTTGGCACAGCCGATGCGCATCCTTCGGTCAAAAAGTTTGTTCTTCTGTTATTGTGAAATGGGGGCTGTGCCTGCGGCGGGGGATGCTGCTGCTGCTGCTCCTCTCTCAGAGCCTCCTACAGCAGCGTTTGGCTCCAAAATTGTTAATGAGAAAAGGCAATCCGACGAGGACAACCCTCCTGCGGTATAAAGGCTAGGACCTTCCAGCCCTCCACCCTTCTTATACTTTCTAACAACCTGCTGCTATTCCTAGAGAGAGCCAAGAAATAGTTAACGCAGAGGAGAAGCATTGATGAGCTGCCCCTCGGCTCCCCGCCGCCGCGGGGCACAGGCGGGGGGACGGGGGGTCCAGGGGACGGGGGGTCCATGGGAGCGGGGGGCCGGGGGGCCGGAGCGGTGTGCATGCCGCTGGGGGCACTATTTTCTGTTTGTGTTCCTATTTCTGTGCTGGAAGAATAAACAGGGAAGTGGTTTTTCTGCAGTCTCATTGCAGCTCACAAACAGAGCACAGAATTCAGCCGGTGTTGCTCAACTGTCACAGCGTCAGAGGTGACGGCGCAGGGGGACCGAGCGCGGTGCATCCCTTAACGTGTGGATGGGCGCTGGGAAGAGGTGATGACCAAATACTTTTTTTTTTTTTTTTTTACTGAAAAACTTCTGCAGGTTTCTGTGCCTGTTCCCTGCCTGCACAGGCATGTATGAATTTCTCTAGTTTGCTTGCTGCCATCCAGAATGGTTCCTTCTTGCAAACGGCCCCTGCACATGGTGCTGCGATGCCACCAGGAGCTCCAAATCCCACGTGGACTTGATGTTTGGAGGGAGCTGGGGAACATCAGCCCATTCCCCAGCGCTCAAGGATCCTGGAGGGGTTTGCGGAGGGCAAGGAGTTCGTGGGAAGCAGCCGTTTGCTGGCTGAAGGCTGGATGAGGCTTTTTGGTTTAGTGTGGATGGGAGCCTGCAGGCAGGGGGGAGTGCCCAGGTGGGACAGGGGCTCAGGGTCTGGGCACATGCATCTCCGGGTGTGCTGGGGAGTACTGCTGCCTTCGCTTCTCCCAGGTTGCATGGGCTGGGCAAAATTGCATCTCCAAAAGCTCTTCTTCAGCCCTTCCCTGCTGTGAGGCAGGACCAGGCAGCCTGAGGCCATCATCTCAATTTTACCACCAATCCTGTGGCTAATTTGTCCAAAAGCCCTAGTGATTTACATTTGTTTAGGCTGATGGAGGGCCATCATCTTCCTTGGTTTAGCATTTATCTGCCTTTCTCTGCTTGAACAAAGGCAATGCTGAACATGTGTTAGTTTGCAAGCAGTCCCCGTTTTCGGGTTTCCAGGCATTAAGGCCCGGCTATGCCTGTGGATCTGAGTTGCAGACACTTCAGGGGGATGTTCATTTGTTTATAAAAGAAACCCACATCTGTTTCTGTTTTAATTTTTTAAGCAAGCATACATAGAAACCTTTCTCTTGGTTTCTGGCTCTGTAAAAACTAGATTTTGGGCCAAGTTTGACCTAACGGTGACCTTTTCAAAGTATTACAAATTTTTTTGGTATTTGTTTATGACTTTAATAATGATGCCATGCGGGGAATGGGTCAGTTAAAGGTGAAATTAGCTTCTAATGTAAGCAAAGGATTAATTTTGGAACAAAGACCGTATTTTGTGGAGACTTTAAATTGCTCAGTAGTACACCAAGTGAATTTGCTCCTGAGAGCTTGTCAGGGCCGGAGCTGTGGGCGATGGGTCCCCCTCGCTGGGTGCCGAGGGGTGTCGGGCCCAGCTACCACCAACCACCAGACTTTATAACTCTGTGCTCCAGATGGGCAAATGGCCCAATTACCCTTCTTCTACAGTAAATTCCTCTGTTAAGTACCATGCGGTTTACTACTGTTTGGCTGCTCTGGAAGATGAGTCCCTCAGAAAACAGCATCCTCTTAGCACTGCCTGGAAGTTAACCATTTTCTGAAAAGGTCTGGTTGAACCCTGTGGTTTTGGCCCCAGATCTTCCTTCCTTCAGGCACACGGTCCCTTGTGGGCTGTTGTGTGCCGTCCTCTGCCCAGGCAGTGGTTGCCTTTCGGTGCTGCTGGGTTCAGAGATGTCCATACTTTGCTCAAGCCAGAATTTCATTCAGAGCAATTGAGATGCAGTTTGGTTCAGGGGATGCTGTCTTGGATCCTGCCAAACAGTGGCAAAGTGAGTTACTGAAGCTGAGCCGCTGTTTCACCTGCAATGTGAACCACTTCTGTATATGAATATAAATTCATACTGTTATATAGTAAGCGTGTGAAAGTGCATTGTGTAGGTAGGCTTGGACAGGAGCGGGATGCAGGGACCAACTTCAGTTAAAGGGATGATCAGTGCATCTTCTCCCATATTTATCAGAGCCAAAACCAGTCCCAGCATCCTGACACCTGTGTCATTAATCATACACCTTTTCCCCTCCCTTGGAAGGAGAGCGATGTCAATGACACTGTCTTGCTGTAAAGGCAAAGATGGGAAACACTGGAAATCTCCCTGGCTATAAGTAGCATTCCTTTGCTTCAGCTCAGGTGTTTCTTTTCCCCAAAGACTTTGGCTTATTTAATCTCTGTGACTAGGAACTCCAGAATCAATAAAAGCTCCAGCTTTGTGCTCCAAACGCCTACTTGCTGCTTCAGACCAGTAGGAACCAGTGTAAAAGGTTCAGGCAGGATTTCCACTAAAAGTAAGTAAACTGCAGTTAGAGCTGCCTTCAATATCATTTTTCCCAAGCAAAATCTAATGGCTACTTGGAACAGCACTGGTTTAATAACATCTGTTTCCCCTTGAATCACTGGGGGAAAGTATTGATATTGCCATATTCTCGAGGAACATTTTTAATCATGTTTTGACAGGGCAATGTCTCACCACTACACTGATAGTTAAAATGTTTATGGTACTTTGTAGTATTATCCCTTATAATGGTGTGATAAAACATAGCGCAGAAATTGTAAAATACAAGCATTGCAAGGGTTTTATATGCTTATGTGGAACTTTTCATGTTGTTCGGGGGGAAATGGCATGCTCTAGCCTGCTATCCAGTCTGTGTGCTGCTAGTACGTGCTGCGACTGAACCATACAAAACCAGTGTTTTATTATCATTCCCACTTATCGTTTGCGGAAGCAGTAGTGTGTATGCCATGTTAACAACCTTGGATTCTTACAAAATATCTCAGAAAGTACTAGGAAGATTTCCACTAGGTTAAAATTGTTTTCTGCGGTGTATTTTAGCTCACAGCCTGTTGGATAGTTATCTGGTCCATATGGGTAGCCCTTTTCATCCAGAGCTCCCCAAGCCCTGTATTGGGGGCCACATTGATCAGCTACCAGCCACATTGGTACACTGGGGTCTTCAAAAGTTCAAATCTCTTTTTCCTGTCTTTTTCCTGTCTTTTTCCTGTCTTTTTCCTGTCTTTTTCCTGTCTTTTTCCTGTCTTTTTCCTGTCTTTTTCCTGTCTTTTTCCTGTCTTTTTCCTGTCTTTTTCCTGTCTTTTTCCTGTCTTTTTCCTGTCTTTTTCCTGTCTTTTTCCTGTCTTTTTCCTGTCTTTTTCCTGTCTTTTTCCTGTCTTTTTCCTTTCCTTTTCCAGCACCTACTGGTACAGGTACTTGACTTTCAGCTCCAAGTGCTCGGTTCCTGAGGACTGAGTTCAGGAGAACATGCTGATTTCAAGCAGTTCTGTGACTTGTTCAAAGTCACAAATCGAATCAGGAGCCGAGCTTGAAAAGGGTGTCCTGTCCTCCTAATCAATGCGGTGGTACCCGCTGCCATGGTTTTGTCTCTGAGAGGATGGAGAAGTCACAGCAGCTGTGCAGAAGCCGCTTGCTCACCTGCCGGGAGCTGCGGTGCCGGTGGTGCTGGCAGGGGGCTGTGTGGCTGTGCCGGAGCAGGCAGAGCAGCTCTGGGTGATGGGAAGCGTGCTTCAGGCTTGGCTAGCGCGCGCGCTAGCTGTGTGACAGATACACCAGAAGTCTTAAAAGAAGTAGATACCGCCTGAGTGGGAAGATGAGTCAGAGGGTAAAACCCCGGTCTCATTGTACACAGGGGTCCTCTTCAGCTCCGTGATGCTCGGACTTCCCCCTGCAGACATACTGAGAGTGCACATAGTTTCCATTCTTCTATCTGTGCACTTCTCAAATTTGCAGCGCAGACGGGTAGTTCATGGGATGGCTTTTGTCCCGTCCAACAGCACCACGATCCGTGGTGGGGCATCCTCCAGTGGTGATGCTCTTGCAGAGGGAGGGACATTTGGTTGTGAATCCTCCATGGGCAAATGGCTATGCAAAGCTGAGTGATCAAAGTGTACTTGCTGCATCTCCTAGGAGCGGGGAAAGCTGGTAGAGAGACACTGGCACCCTTAAAGTTTAAAAAAAACACTGTGAGGATTGTTTTCTTCCTTTTTTAAGCCCCTGGGTAGTTGTCTGTCATGAGGGTAAGTACTGGCTGGTGCTGGGATAACCGGTGCGCAGATATTCAGAGATAACAGTGATTTGGTGCTCAGATGAGTTTCCTGGGCATTAAGTGTAATGTTCAATTTCTTTTGTTACAGATGGAAGAAAAACGACGCAAGTACTCGATCAGCAGTGATAACTCAGACACCACTGACAGTAAGACCTTTAATTCAAGGCTTTGAATGAGATAACTAAGCGATTCACCTCCAGCAGGGAAAACACTTGAATAATTACTTTGCAAAGAGTGGATGAAACTGCATTTACTGGGAAGTCTCTGCACAATGTATTGTGCGCTGGGCTGGGTTTGTCAGAAATGCAGCAACAAGCTGATATCAATTTAAATGCCCTGGCTATGACTCCTCTTAACTGATGAGAGTGTCTCCCTCATGCGAGGAGTCTGGACCAGGGTGAGCTGCTGATTGCATGTCTGCTGATGAAGCAAACAGCCTTTGTAGACAAGTTGCCCTTTCCTGTGAGCTGCAGCCTGAGACCGGTTAGCTCTTGACTGAGTTGTACTGGGGGAAAGGGAAGTTTTTACTGGAGTCAGGGTAAAACCAGAGCCTCCTTGTTCCCCTCTTGCAAGCTGAAGAGTGATGTGGGAAAAGGGATAAGGCTTGAGCCAGCAAAGCTTGCAAGCCCACGCTTGCTTTTCAACATCTACCTCACTTCATCCTCATTCAGGAAAGCACAGAAGCATGTGCTCAACAATAAACATGTGCAAATGTGCTGAATTTTGGCTATAAATAGAGCGCTTTCCTCTCCCACTTATTCCAGGGTTTCACCCACTGCAGACATACCGCAGTGCCTTAGTGTTCAGTACCCTCAAGGCACTAGTCTAATCCCTTGTCTGGGCTCCGGAGTTTCCTACTAGTTGCTCTTGATTTCTTACGAATATCACAGTAATTTCATCTGGGCCGTGTTGGGAATTTGCTCTCCACACTTTACAGGATCTGGCTGCTGGATATCCGAGAACGAAAGGGACTTCGCTAAAGACACTAAACTTCTGGGCCTTTTCCTAACAGGATGATGGGGAGATTACAGGGGGTTATGGCAAGGCTGATGTTGCTGGGTTTGGCTGCTGTTCCCACAGCTTTAGCCAAAAAAATTGTCAGCGTGACCAGAGTTTGCACCGCTACAGCCGACGGGAACCTGCTGTTTGGCTGCCGGAGGGGACCCCTGTCCTGCCGGAGCCCTGGGAGGCTCTGGGGGCTGAGCTGTGCCTATGGAAAGTGTTTCAGGCTCTGTCAGCACCACTCACTTCTCATAAAATAAAACATCTCTGTCGCAGAAAGGGGTTTGTTTTGGAAGCCGTGCTCCAAACTTCCCGTCTCCTAATCCCCAGATGTTCAAAGGCTTACCAAGCCGAGCCATGCTAGCTGGCTTCTCTGCCTTTCGGGGGTAAGGCATCTTTAATCACAGTATTAAACGACATGGCCTTATCTCTAGTGGGCTTGGGTATTTATGCTGCAGGTGATATCTAAGCTGTTGACAAATGCTCTCCTGCATTATAATTGTAAACAAAGTGATGACCTTCATTTTATGCCTCCGCCAGGAAAGGATGGTAGTGGCGTGTTATCTAAGCCTACATAGTTGTAGCACCACATTGTAGCTTGAGAAGAGGGGGCAAGGTGGAAATTAGTGACTCGATCTCTCAGTATAAACTGTGGATCTGCTGCTGCAATGCTTTGGGCAATGCACCGGGTAAAGCGGCATTTCCCAGCGGCTGCAGCGTAGGGACTTCTACTGTGGGCTTTGCCTATGCAGTCCTGTTACCTACTGAAATGATAAAAAAAATGCATTTATGTGGAGCCCACTTTAATGACATCCAGCCTGACGCTGCAGTCAGAAAAACAGCTGTCCTTTGGGAACGACTGATGCCATCAGATCTGGTCTTCATTTTATGAAGTACAAGAAAGTGGGTTTATTGAGTACAGAGTGCAAGGTAAACTAGTGTCCCTTCCCCTGCGAGCAAAAACAGGCATGTGAGATTTATCTGGGCTCATGAGGGACTAAATTGCCTGTGCTGGTGGAGGGAGGGACATTTCCCACCACGCTGGTACCGCACTGGGGACAGCCCTGATCCCTTGTGCCAGCTCAGCTCCCAGCCCAGAGCCCCTCCTGAAGTCCTCGCATGCACGGATCCGTCGTGCTTGGCATTTGCTTATGTGCCCAGTGTTGTTTCCTCCTGTTCAGCCATCCAAGGATAAAATCAGCGGCCCAGGATAAAATCAGCATAAATAGGTTTATCGATAGTTAATTTGTTGCACCCCCACCAAAACATTTTTATATAGTGGAATCTGAAGGGATCCTGCTGTACAGAAGGCCCGACCATTGTCGTCATCATAAAAAGATTCCAGTAATTAGTTTATTGTTTATTATTACCAGATATATACAGCTTTTTTTTTTTTTTTAAGTGATAGTAACATCTATGGGTTGGAAATAGAGATTAATAACATAACGGTCCCAGCACATTTCAGGCTTTAGCTGCCTTTGCCTTGTGGAGGTGGTAGCGGTGGTGATGATAACTGCTCCAGTCAGGATGATGAGAGTCCATTCATAATATTCCTGGAGTAAAGTAATCCCAAATGCCAAAGCAGATATTCTCTTACTACTGAGAAGTGGGAAGTGCATTTGCTCGGTGTGTCCTGTTGCGTGGTTCTCAGTAGATGCTGAACTGCACACAGGCGTGGAAATTCTTAGTCCTGGCACAGGCAGAGGAGTTTCACACAATTTGGTCACTATTTTTGACCATGGGGTCTGAAGTCCTTGAGCAGTTCAGATGCTTGTCTTTAAGCATCCTTGTTAGAAAAATTTTAGTATTATCTCCTTAATTCCTGATCTCAATAGATTCCTGATTCCAGGAATGAGCCCTGGCTCATTCCCTCTTAGCAGCCGTTCTTGCTCATGACTTTGGGTTTCTCATTTCTGATGTCTGCATTTGAAAACAGTGTTTCTAAATTTCAGAGGCCTCTGTTTTATCATCTATAGTGGCAGGAAAGTGATGTTACTCTATTTTGGTGAAGTATCCTGGGATGTGCACAAAAATAATGCCATATCAAGGTATTGTTGCCTCTTAGCCTTGAGTCAAAGTGTTGGTTGGGGCTGTAGTAGTGGGCAGGGGGGGCTAGTGACACAGATACAGAAAAAACTTTGTCTCTTTTCCAGGTAACCTGTCTCTGTTGCCTCGTTGCAGGTCACACCACGTCCGCCTCCAGATGCTCCAAAATTCCGAATACCAAATCCACCTGGTCACGGCAGAAGGAGAAGAAGCCCTCTGAGGTATGTGGGCTTTTAGGCTTTTTCAAAAGGAGAGTTTTTTCCCCGGGGCCGTGCTTGCCCAGATGTGGTGGCAACCAGCGTGCCCATGGCTCGCTGTGGGTGGTGAGTGCCAGGATAGGGCATCCTCCAAGAAGCCAGAGCCCCCGCTGCAGAGCCACCGCTCTCACCAGCGGTACCAGCCTCAGCCTTGCGCTCAGCTCTGCTGGGAGGGAGCAGGCAGAGGTACCCAGCAGGCATCTCTGATGAAGGGTGGTGGGTCCCTGTGCTCTCTCTGTTGGGGTCCTTGTGCCCACTCCATCCCTGGTGATGCAAGTGGGGGGAGGTGGAGTGTGGTGGGGTTGGGAGGTCCTGCAGTATCGAGGTGGCTGCATGCTGAAGTTCCCCGCTTTGGGTGCCTGCCTGGATGCCCTTTCATTAATGGCACAGGTCATAGCACTGATGCCAGGGGAAGGTGGCTCGGTGGTGTGGAGGCTCCTCCCCGTGAATTAAGTGGGAGGTACAGAGAGCCATGAAATGAGAGACGGCACAGCTGAGTTGAAGGTCATGTTGTGTTGGTTTCCTCCCGTCACGGGGCTCAAGTGCATTAAGCTGAGGCCATTGGTGTCTGACCTTGTTGCAGGGTTTTCCCTCCTTCCTAGCTGGTGTGGGCAGCGCTGCCCACCCCAGAGGGCATTGCCCAGGTTGCCCCTGCCAGCTCTGCGGTGCAGGGTCTGGGACCGGGTCAGGAGGAGCTGTGTTTCCCGAGGACCGTGCTGGAGGGGCCAACGCTGTGCCTTCTTTTCCCTCACGTGCCTCGGATACATTTCCACTAGACATGGAAACTATACCAGGCATGAGCTGCTGTTGTAGCAACTGCAGTGTTTAGCGGTGGTCATCTTCGTTTCAAGAGCAACATGAGCAAAGCCAGAGGGACATTGTTCTCACATTCTCTTTCCTCTGGACCAGGGTCTGGAGTCAAAGAGAGCTAAGTTTAGAAGCAGGTGGATGGCTAATGCCTGCTCACGGGCAGTAAACTCCTTCCCAAGCCCCCACATCACACCTCTTGTGGGGCTGTGGCCCGGTAAGCACAAACCTCTCTAACATCCTCCCTTTGCATCAGCCTGAGTAGAGATTTTGAGGTTTTCCTGTGGTCACTGCCTGAATTACAGCTGCACTTAGTTCTTATCACTCTGACAGATTTACATTGATATGTCTAACGTGTTGGCAGTGCATGGAGACTTAAAAAGTCCGTATTGTTTGTGCCTTGGGTAAAGAGAGGGGCTGAAAAGCTGTTATTACCAGCTGAGGTAATTGGAAGCACTCCAGAGAGCGAAGAACCAGGGGTGCAGATGTCACTGGCTGCTGACAAGGCTGTCGGAAAGTTGCGCATTAGGGCTGGTAATGTCATTTTTTGATTATAGATGTGTCTCTCGAAACGGGTGAGGGGGTGTATTCTGTGAGCTGAATCCCCCATTGAAGACGTGAAGCGTTTAGGGCATCTCCTCTTCTGTTGCCGCGGGCACTGTTACCCCAGCTCTGAAATGACTGCCCATCCCTGTGCCCGATGTGTCCGTAAAGGCATCGGGCTAGCCGTGTAGGTGCCTTCAGGAGGCCCGCGGAGATGCCCAGCGTTAGACCTGGTTAGATGTGCGAGGATGTGACTCGTGCGTCACCAACAGTGCCACACGTGCCACCCTGCTGTTGCCCAGTAAAATCCTTCCCAAAAGAGCCTTCATTGGGTGATCTCTTTCTGCATCACTGGTACGCACACGCTTTTGTCTTTAATATGAATTAGCTTTATCAGCCAGCTAGGAGTTTACCTGGCTGCTAATGAAGTTACTGGATATAAGTCTAAGACTCCCAAGTGAAAATGCTTCTGCACTTTATGAAGGATGGTCAGACCTGGATCCAAGTTTTGCTGCTGTACAACAGCTGGAGTGAAAACTAGATCTTAATCTGCGGCACCCGGGGAGACGTCAGATGTGGGGCCTGCGGAGGCCAGGCTCATCCCTTTGCTTCATGCTCTGTTATGCCCAGAGGACGGTTCTCAGTGAAATGTAGCTCTGGAACAAATAAAGTGAAGCAAAAGCTTAACAGTGCCCAGCTTAGCAACAGTTGGGACAGAAAGTGAACCCCGGTGGCATATCTGAACTGAAACTCCAGGGGAATTTGGGGAGGCGATGTGTAATTACTCAAGTTGGAGTTGGGCCAGGATGCTCAAGCTCACAAACCATCTTTTACAAAAGCATGGTGGGAACCAGAGCAGATGGGAGCGGTCCGGATCTCGGCTTTACTTCCCTTACCCTGCATCTCCCTGGCAGCTGCTGGCATCCAGGTCTGCTTGAATTCAGCTCCGGGTGAAACCCAGGGTCAGGAGAATGTGTCCCTGGGGCCGGACATAGGATTGCCCTGCGCGGCAGATCCGAGACCTGTAGCAGTGTGTGGTAATGGATTGGAGGTCACTCCGGTGAGTGCTGGTTTATGGATTTCCTCTACGACAGCATCTTCCAAACTTTTCCATGAGCGACCTAACTTCTGCTCTTACTGTGAGCACCAGTGAACCTGTCTGGTCCATGTGTGGGATCCACTGCCCGTCATCTGTGAAACACTGCAGGGTTTGGCACATCCTGGGGGATTTCTTGCAGGAGCCCTGGAGGATTTCAGGCGCAGACTGGGATGGGCATCGTGTCCCGCTGGAGCAAGTACCGAGAAGTGTAAAACACAAACCACACCACTGTCAAACTACTTCACATGAAATAGTGAAGTACCTTTTTCTTTGCTGTCCCACTTAGGATGGAAACCACAGGAGCGTAACAGGGAGAGCATGACGAGTGTATTATCAGATGTTGAAGCCCCCCGGGCAGTCTGCCCCACACATTTTGGGGCTGGACAAGCCTTTTCAAACAGTAACTCGAACTCCAGGTTTACACACGGCTTGTAGCTATACCAGGAGCTGAGCTGCTCTCCAGGTGCAGAGAGTTGGGGCACGTCCCGAGGGGCGGCGATGCTGGAGGACGGGCTGGGGGAGCGGGGGGTTGTGTGCCTGGGGAACCACCGAGCTCTCCTGCCCCTCTCAAAGTCGTGTCCCTGTTTCTCTGCGAGCTGCGATCTGCATTCCCCCCCAACAACCCAAGCAGGAGATAAAAAAATCAAAAGCATTAGTGTTACATAGTTATTAGCCAGGTCAGGGGTGATGTTTATTATGAAAGACTCTGTGAGAAGGGATTAACTATACACATTAAAAACCACCCGATACAAGGCATCTGGAAAAACAAGCTTCTTAACATGGAAAAGTACTGAGCTGTTTGTAAACATCCGCGAAGGGGGCCATTGCCAGGGAGGGTGATTATATTTATCTGTGTCTGTCATGGGGCTCTGCCCGGGCTCTTTCCTGACGTGTCCCAGGCACCAGGCCTCGGTCTCGGCTGCCCCCCTTGCAGAGGTGACAGTCGTCCTCCCCTGCCCCATGCCTGGCCAGCAGAGACCTCAAGGCAGAGCCCCGGTGCGATGCCGATGGTGCCCCGGGCCTGGGCATGGCTCTCCTGCCCTGCCTTTGCCTGTAGGCAGAGGATGGACTTGGGCAGCTGCCAGCAGCTTCTTGCATCTGCACTGATAGCAGTATACCAATCTGATCATTTTAATTAATCTCATTAGAGCTCGTTTGTCTCTGAACCTGGCCTCAAATGGAGCGTGGTGGCCGGTACCCATCCCCAGGCGCCGCCGGCCAAGGAGCCCTGCGAGGAGATGCTGGTTGTGCTCCCTGCCCCAGGAGCTGGAGGGAGGGGGATGCTTGCTCAGGTCCTCCCTGTCTTGGATGCTGAATCTGCAGCGGGGAGTAAGATGTGCCTGAAGTATGGATTTCTGCTTCTTTTAGTGGCGCATTAGTGCAATCCTGCCCCTGGCTATAGGGCTGCTGGGGATATGAGCGCAAGCCTCACTGGTTAGACTGCAGTCATCAAGCCCTCTCTCCTGTTTCTGACAGGGAACAGTTGTCAGTGTCTAAGGAGAGAATATAAGAACAAGGCAAGTGTGTAATGATAGTCGCCGGTTCTATCTGCCAGCTCCCAGCCATCAGTGGCCTGGGGACTCCCTCAGATGCTGCCTTAGTCACTGCCTTAGCCGGTGTGTTAGTCATTAGCTCCTGAACTATTTGGGATCCAAAACACTACCCTGCAATGAGTTGCACTGCCAAAATATATTGTGTGTGGGGGGAAAACCCCTGCTCTTTTGTGCAAGCCACCTGCCTGACCCCTCCAGCCGTCCCTTTTCTAAGCTGAAGAGCCCTGCGCAGTCTCAGCTCTCCTCTGCGGGTGCTGCTCATCTCGCCGGACATCCTCATCCCCTTCTCCTTCAGCCCGGACCTTCTGGCAGCGAGGGGACCACAGCTGCAGGCAGGATTCAAGACGAAGGGGAAACCACAAATTTATACAATTTACATTATTTTCTGCTTGCCTTGTTTAGATATTACTTCCGTGTTTTGAAAGATGTCTTTTTATATCTCTTTACAAGGATTTAACACTTTTAACAAACATCCTCATTGCTGCCCTTCTATAAAGTAATACTTAGTGCATTAGATCTTGTTTTTTTCCCTGCAGTAGGTATATAATGGCCCAGTGCAATGTGAATTTAGTCCCTGGGCTCTCCATGCTTGAAGAAGGGCTTTTACGAGTATGGCCAAGCAAGACTGGACATGCTTTTACTGGGCTGGATGAGGAGAAAATCCGTCTCTGTTGAAAGGTTTGACTGCAGTGGCTTTGTCACTTTTCCCAAGCCATCGTGGGGATCACAGATTAATGCCATTGTCTTCTGAATGCTGAGAAGGGCTGGACAAAAATGCTTCTTGTTCCTATTTTAAATTCTGTTGTTCATTGAATCTTTAACATTCAGCATTTCGAGAGGAAGCAAGACTAGATGAAAAGATAGTCGGCTGGCTCCCAAATGAACATGAGAGTAAGTATTTTGTTCCCCACAGGCAGATAGTATCGCTGCTTACAAACACACACCAGGCATTGCCGTGTTTC